CACCCAGGCGCCCCATGGAGCCAGTTTTTAACATTTAGCAGCACATCACTGTGCATGCATGTATGGGCATGCACATACACACACATCCACACAACATCCACACACACATCCACATACATAACTTACTAAGCATTTGTATTAGGCACCATGCTAAGTGCTTTTACATGTATTCTTAATATCACTTGGTAGATACTGAGCTAGCTTAATAGGCTAAAATTCCAACTATTCATTCTTTTGTTTCCAAGAGCCTATGGTTATGCATTTACCAGTATGCTACTGTATATCCTTTATCCTGAGAGATAGCTCATTGACCCACCACTATTTATTAGCTAGTCCATCCTTTCCCACTAGTCTAAAATGCTTTTTATCGTAAGTTTCCATTAGAATTTTCTGTAATAGAATGAAATATCTTAAATATATAGAAATCCATGAGTTTATAATGATACTTAAAAAGGAAGTATTGGACGTAACTGTAGGTTGCTTGTTTACTAACTCATTATTTTGAAAATTGATAACTAAAGCATTTAACTTGTCTTTCTTATATCAATTTAATAAGATAACTGAATAGTTGGTGAGGGAAAGTTTTTCTTTATGGAAGAATTCCAGTATTAAAAATGTTAGAATTTAGATTTAGTGTGGTGATTATTTTGCAATATATACACATATTGAATCATTATGCCGTACACCTGAAACTAATATAAAGTTGTATGTCAGTTATACCTCAATTAAAAAAAAAAGTCAGAATTTTAAGAATCACCATTGTTGCTACCCCTAATGAAACAATGGATTTAGGCAATAATCATCTGTATTTAGTTTTAGCTGATGGTGGAACAGTCAGATATCATGTACTTCCTGATTTGATGTAATAGGATGTATACAATATCATCTATGAAATATTTCTGCCCAATCCTCTAAATTAAACCTGAATCTAATTCAGCCCATAGATATAATTAGTACTTTACATAAAAGACAGAGATAGACAAGTTAAACAATACCATGAGAATGCAGCCAGCCAAATCTAAAATGTGGGAAGTTCTTCACTAAAAATGTGACCTGATTTTTTTAAAAGTTTTTATTTAGTTAGAATACAGTGTAATATTCATTTCAGGTATAGAATTTAGTGATTCAGTCCTTACATATAATACCTGATGCTCATCCCAGGCACCCTCCTTAATCCCCATCATCCATTTAACCCATCCCCCCACCTCTCCTTTG